CTATGTACAATATAATCACAGTTTTGTAAAATATGTAAAAGGAAACCACCATGGTATTAGCAGTATCATCTAGGTAGTGGAACTCTTGCTGATTTTTGTATTCTTATTTTATTTATCAATGTTATCTAAATATTTTTTTAAATATTAAAACTTTTAAATTGAGCAAACAAGTCAAATTATGTTTTTAGAAAAGAAGAGGTTTAACTATTAGAATAATGGGGGTTTTATGACTATTTATCAAGGAAACATTTTGTTGCTGCAAGAGAATCAATGAAAAATCTCTCTGAAATAAAGATCAAAATGTAACTGGTAACAGCACAGTTTCATCACAGCAATATCTAATCTGAAAACATAATGAAAATAATTTTACTCCAAATAACCAAAATAATGTAATGTTTAAATAAAGCCAAATATGTAGAAGTTATATAAATAAACTACAGTTATTTATAAACAAATAAAACTTAAATGGAAATATTTTCTATTCTAAAAGAAAAGACTGTCTCTGATACATTTCTCTAATTTTTAAATGTAAAGGAAAGCACCTAAAATGTCATGTGTCTTTTTCTGAATTTTAACATCTATTATAAAGTGTATTAAGAAAAATCAACAAAATTAGACAATGGGATTTTGCAAAGAAATAATGACTCAAACATTGATCTTTTATTAAATATTTCATTAAATATTTTATTAAATAATTGAAGAAGTTCAATACAGAGAACAGACTGATGGTTGCCAGAGGGGAGGGGTTGAGGGACTGGGTAAAAAAAGATGAAGGAGTTAAAAACTGCAAATTGGTAGTCACAAAATAGTCCAGGGATGTAAAGTACAGCACAGGGAATACAGTCAATAATAGTGTAAAAACTATGTACAGTGCCAAACAGGTACTGAAAATACCAGAGGGACTGCTTTGTAAGGTACATGTTTGTCTAACCTCTATAATGTACACTTGAAACTAACATAAAACAGTATTGAATGTAAACTGTGATTGAAAAAAAAATTTAAAGAAAAAACCCAGTTAAATAAATAAAATAATTGAAGAAGTGTGGTACTAGTAGATTAACATTTTAAAAATAGATAGAGATTTATTCATATGAGGAACATGGTAAAGAAGATATTTCAGTCCAGTGTAGATAATTGCAAGAGTCCAGGGTGCAAAATTTCAATGAAATACCACAAACTCTGCCCCTTTCACTTTGTTCAAGTAAAGTTTAAAGCATTAACCTCATTCAGTGCAGTGTTTAAGAGTGTGGGCTCTGGAAATAGGTCATCTAATTTCAAATCCTGGCTCTACTATGCAGAAGCTGTATAACTTTAAAAGGTATGCACTTCCCCTCTTCCTATGCCTCAGTTTTCCTCATCTGAAAAATATGGATAATAATATGACCTGCATTAAAGAACCATCGTGTGGCTTCAGATGTAAAAAGCTTGGAACAGCCCTAGCTGGTTGGGCTTAGTGGATAGAACATCAGCCTGTGGACAGAGGGGTTCCAGTTTCGATTCCTGTCAAGGGCACATGCTCTGGTTGCGGGCTCGATCCCTGGTTGGGGGCACGCAAGAGGCAGCCAATCAATGATCCGCTCTCATCATTGATGTTTCTATCTCTCTCTCCCTCTCCTTTCCTCTCTGAAATAACCTCATTCAGTGCAGTGTTTAAGAGTGTGGGCTCTGGAAATAGGTCATCTAATTTCAAATCCTGGCTCTACTATGCAGAAGCTGTATAACTTTAAAAGGTATGCACTTCCCCTCTTCCTATGCCTCAGTTTTCCTCATCTGAAAAATATGGATAATAATATGACCTGCATTAAAGAACCATCGTGTGGCTTCAGATGTAAAAAGCTTGGAACAGCCCTAGCTGGTTGGGCTTAGTGGATAGAACATCAGCCTGTGGACAGAGGGGTTCCAGTTTCGATTCCTGTCAAGGGCACATGCTCTGGTTGCGGGCTCGATCCCTGGTTGGGGGCACGCAAGAGGCAGCCAATCAATGATCCGCTCTCATCATTGATGTTTCTATCTCTCTCTCCCTCTCCTTTCCTCTCTGAAATCAATAAAAATATATTTTTTTAAAAAAAGAAGAAAAGTTTGGAACAGAACCCAGCATGTAGGAAAACCTCAAAAAGTGTTAACTTTTATTAAAATTAAATGTAATTATTGCAACCCTAAAATATCTATGGAAATGTGGAGATATATTTATAACAGATATTAGAGAAATATCTAAAAAAAATAAAGAACACAGATGTCAAAAATTACTTTCCGTTGTTTGGATAGTGCCTTTCTCTTAAAATGCCATACACCTACCTGGCTGGCTATCTATAATACAAATCATCAGGCTTCACCATTTTATTTTTTACTTTCTAGCAAACCTCTTTGTTTAAAGAAAGGGCACATTTTGTGAGGGTCCAGGCATCAGGCCAACTATGACCAGACCCTTTTTCTATTCCTCACCCACACTGGATCCTTCCAAGGAACATATATTTACTTGGAGCACTGAGAATCAGAACTGGGAGTGCACATGGGACGTCTCCGGAGGCCTTTTCTTTCAGTAACATCAGCCCACAGAAATCTCTCTTCCCAAACCCCAACAGTGTTTATTTCCCCAGCACAATCTCCAGCCCTGCGATATGCTCTATTTGACTCATATCTAGCTGGTCTCCTCAACTACTTTCTCATTCAGTTGCTCATTTCCTCACTCCCCATTCAATGTGTCTCAATGAATGATTTACTGACTGCTTTCCTATGCACCAAACCCTATGTTAGCTGCTAATGGGGAACAGTGTCTGTGCCTGCCACAGGAACCTCCTCCTCCTGGAAGTTCACCGCCTTCACCATGGAGCAGGGCATGGGGCTGATGAGTTCAGTCACTGATGAGGCTATAGCAAGGATTCTCACCATCTCATCAACTGTAGAGGGCGCTCCAGAGGATAGAGACAAAAATGAGTCCACTTCCCAGGACTTTTAGACGCAGATTCCCACCTGCTGCCTGCCCTATTAAGCTCACTTTCCTTCATATGAACCCTTATGCTTCTCTTTCCCATAGATAGATAAGAACAGCAACATTTATTTCCCTCCACACACACACACTTTTTTTTCTCATACCTAACTGGTTTCCCAGGATGGAAATTAGAGATTGTGCATGCACATCTTCCCCACTCAGAGGCAGCCCCAGAGCACTATTTGGCTTGTTACTTTCAGGAAACAGAGAGGCAAGATTTTTATCTTTGTTTCCCCAGAACCATCTTAAACTACAGTTCCTTCCATCTGGACAAGAACTCCCCCACTGATACAGAGCAAAGTGAGTGATAAAGGGGGTTCTGAAATTTGGTGCTCCCCCTAGAGATTGAACCCTAGAACAGTGTACCCAAACGTTCTTTTTATCTCCAAGCTAAAAAGTAAAGAGTTTGGTTCAAGTATCCTGAGTTCCAGGCAGAAGTTCTGTTTCTCCCAATCCCTGAAAAGACCTCCAACAGTGAGTCTCTGACATTTCAATACACCATGGCCGTTTGTACCGTAGTGGTGTCCTCTACCAAAGACACTTTTCTTTCCTTGTCATAATTTTTTAAATCCCTTTCTGTGGTATAACTCTAACAAACTGTGTTGTGTGTGTGTACTTATACACATGAACATAGGCATGCCTGTGTGAAGATGTATTTACCTGTGAGTATGCACTACGTGTTGGGACATTTCTCCGTAGTGTGCTTACCAGTGTGTATGGGGACTGGAAGGCATGATTCACTCGCTTGATTTATGAATTGTAACACTTTCACCCTAGAAGTACATGGGCAACAGGAAGCATTCCTGAGTGTAAATTAAAATTTAGCCCAAGATTCCTTGGGTCCTTCCCATGTATGACACACATTCTACCTCAGTGCCTTTGTATATAATGACTCCTCTGCTGGAATACTCCTCTCCCCTCTCAAATCTTTACCTACTTCATTCTTACTTTCCAGGTAGTAGCTTAGAGCACATACTCACAGCAGTCTTCTTCGTCTCCCAGAATAGATCAAACCCGTTATGCTATTTCACACTCTCATTCTCTTCCTTCATAGCATTTATCATAGTTTGTAATTACAAATGAGCACTCTTCAAATATTCCCAATTTGAATAGTTCCTGCTACCAGATGATAAACTCATGAGGGCAAGATCATATTTCTTACTCACATTGAATTCCTAATAGTGAATGCTACGGGCCAGGATAGGTATTCAGTTTCAGAGCTAAGAGTTGCAAGAAAGACAAAAATGCAGGGCACACATAGTCTGTGTCAATGACAGTAACTCTCTGAATCTGGTCATTAGGGACGGTAACTCTTGTAAACCTGGTGAGATGAAGTGTGCTTAGCCACAATCCTGCTCTATCTCTGTCCACTCAAGGATCAGCATTGAATTCAGAAAATGAGAGCCACCCATGGGATAGTCTTCAGCAGCAATAAAAATAAGAAACTGTGCCACTTTCTTCAGACAGATTGGTGGTAGAGGCACCAAAGAACAGAGTACATGGTGGCAGCTCCTACAGGACACAAAATTTGAGGCACCACTGGAAGGACACCAAGAAAATTGCCTCAGCTCTCCATGCTCTATTCTCTATGCCTCTGAATTTTCTAGCTTCAAACATTCAGTTTCCCTTCATGCCCTCGTCTCCATGCAGACAGAGCTCTAATCATCCCCTCTTCTCCCACAAGTTCCCCTTTTCTCAGTGCCCACAAAGAATCAGACTCAGGCAGCAGCTGGAGATTGGATGTAATTGCATCTCAAGACAAGCATTTGCAGAGCTCACACTGGGGCCCCATCATTGTGCAGTGGCATGGATGGTTGGGTCACTCAAAGCACCCCCACCCTGTTTGTGGCCCTCTTTCTTCCTCATTGACTCTGGAATGATATTGTCTCCGCAGTAAAGGGCATAATAGTAAATTCAGTTCATAGTGCGACTGCATTCAAGAATGGGGGAGTTGGGTAGGGAATATGGGGAAAGGGGCACAGAGGAAAAGATACGGTCTGAACTTGGGCTCCTATGACTGCCTCAGCTTCTCTACCGCAGCATCCACATCACCTCCCGTGGCAATGAGGGCCTGGAGGTTGGCTTCGGGATTCAGAAAGCCCATGGCCCGCAGTTGCTCTAGCTGCACCCGGAAGTGAGTCTCGGGCTGCAGCTGCTGGGGATTGGTACCGGCTAGGGCTTGCAGTATCTGGAGGAAGGGACTGGAATGGAGGCCTAGCTCCGCAGAACCCTGTTCTGGGGAAACCTCAGGAGCTGGGGCTGGTGGGGGAGCCTCAGGCATAAGGGTGCCCTCTCCAGGCTCTGCCTCTCCTGCCATATTTCCCAGCCCTGCTAGGCAAGGCATGAACCAGAGTAGGAGGTGAGGTGCCTCAGTCGCTAGGACCTGCAGACCCTGCTCAATCTGAAGCAGGGCACGCATGGCACGAGGGTTTGCCATGGCTGCCTGAAGATGCAGCAGCAAGGGCAGCTGCCGGCGTATCTCATCCTGTAATTGTGGGGCCTGATTCACGCTATCTGGTCGCAGAGATCTTGGATAAGCTAGTGGTGGCAGCCATGAATGTTCAGGGATTCCTGAGGTAGCTACCATTGGAGATGGTGGTGAAGGACCAAATGGGGCCCTGTTGGCAGCAGCCCCCAGCCCTGAGATAAGATCGGGCATGCTGGTGCTGTGACCAGTGGAGCCATTCCCTGAACGATCTTGGCTTCCGTTTTGCCTAGGACTACTGTCTGTGGGGTATCTCAAGAATGCTGGGCAAGAGGATTTGCCTTTGATTGCTACTGACTCCTTGGGGCGTGGATGGCCTGACTCAGGTTTCTGGGATGAAGTTGGTGGAACTCGAGATGAGGTTGGGGGAACTCGGTTTCCTGGTGGCGGTGCCTCTTGGCTTGGACTGAGGGTGGATGCAGTCCCCTGCAGGTAGGTTCCCAGGGACAGCGGGGTCTCATGTAATTGCTGGAGGTAGTCATAGAGCCCTAAACTACCCAGAATGTTAGGAGCTCTATTTCTAATTTCAGATATGTCCTGGTCCCCAGGCCACCTGCCCCGCCTGCCACCTGAGCTTCCATTTGTGGAAGCCCAGGGGTTGGGAAGAGGGTCACAGTTCTCCATCCTCGAAGGTTGGCTGTTGTTAGTGGTAGCATTAGCAGTAGTGGTAGCAGCAAAGGGATTGCCACCAAACTGCTCCTGTACTGCATTAAGCATTGGGTCCATAATATCTGTGTACATAGTCCGAAGCACATTGTAGCCACCGGGAATGCTCTCCAGGTTACTGAGGGCCCGGTCCTGGCTACGCATCATCTCTTGCATCATGGCAGGGTTGCGTAGAAACTCCAGTGTCTGCCGCATGATTTCGGGATTGTTGAGAATATGCCCGATCTCAGGGTTATGCTGGATCAGCTGCTGCATATGGGGGTTGTCATGAACCAGCTGACGCACCAGGCCTGTGTTGGACAGCAGACCCTGGATGAAAGGCTCATCAATGATCTGAGCCACAAACTCAGGCACAGATACATTCTGCCACATCAGTGAGCTTGGCTGGTCGGGGAAACTACCAGAAGTCAGGCCCAGCCCACTGAGGCCTGTGAGGACACCTAAGCTAAAGGTGGATGGCCCGTCTGTTGGGAAAATGGAGCTTGGCTGAGGGAGCAATCCAGGGGCTGGACTAGGGACTGAAGCATCTGGAGACTCAGTGCCCATGGTACGGCGCTGCATCTTGATGACCAGGTGGACAGTGAGGCCATCTCTCACTCCACACTGTGCCAGTGAGTCAGGATCCTTGAGGATTTTGCCAGCAAAGATTAAGACCAGCTGATCAGGGTGAGCCTTAAAGCGCTGAGATATCTCTTTCTTCAGCTGCTGGATGGTGCAAGTGTCTATGACTGAGAAATCCTCCTTGTCCTTGGGTGTCTTCACTGTCACTTTGATGAGGTGGGGATTCTGGACTGGTGCTGGACAGCCCTGTGGCAGGGCCTCTCCGCTTTTGGCCATGGTGGGCAGCAGAAGGCCCAGGTCTGTGGGGACACAGCTGGGGGATGGGAATGGGAGACCAAGATCATCTTTTGGAGCAGTGGAAAAGGTAGGAAAGTGAGCAAAAAGAGGACCTGGAATGTCAAGATGGGAAAACTAGAGGGTCCACATAGAAGGGTCAATGAGGTCTCTGGGGTAGGATGCTTTGGGAGGGTTATGGGTTTGAGAGATGTTGGTATCAGGGAAGGAACACCTGAAGTCATGGGAAAGAGAGCTACAATGGATGAGTAAATGGGCAAGGAAAAAGGATCCAATTTGGGGAATACATACCAATCAGCTGTGACCCCGTCCTTCCTCTTATACAGGGCTCCAAACCGCCCTCATCTTGCTGAACAGCCACCCCTGAAGCTTTCTGGGCTGGAACCCACTCTATCAGGTCACCTCTGTGACCTCACCACTGACATCACAGCCTCATAAAATGGATTTTGAGATTTCTCCAAGGTACTCTGGATCCCTGGGAACTCTCTCTCTCAACCTTTAACTTTTCCATTTCCTTATCTCAATTACCCTTTTCAGAGTGAGGGGCCTTAGCTGACCCTCTTTCTGAGTCTAAGAGTCCTGATTCCACAAGCCCTGGTATGTGGCATGTGGAGACTCCTTACTGCTCACCTGCCCGCCTGCCTGATCGCCCCTAACCACTCTGCCTGCCTGCCTGATTGCCCCTAACCACTCACCTACCTGCCTGATTCTCCCTAACCACTTGCCTGCCTGCTGAATCACCTCTAACCACTCTGCCTGCCTGCCTGATTGCCCCTAACCACTCACCTGCCTGCCTGATCGCCCCAAACTGCCTCTGCTTCGGCCCCCGCCGCCGCATCTTCATCTGGAAGGACATCCAGAATGACGTTCGGAAGGTCGTTTGGCTATCCTGTCTAATTAGCAACTAAGAAAGACTCTTTAATCCTCTGTGTCCCCATAAAGACTCAAATTCAGCTAATCCCCAGTCAACCTTCTTCCTGGCATTTTATGTTCCAGTCTTTTCTCTGATTCAACATTAGCTACAAATTATTTATATTTTCAAAGTATTGACTTTTTGGTAGGCGGAAACTAAAATATGAGAAGGAAATAATCATTATTATCCTACAGAAGAACTCAAAGAATTGACTGCCTATTTATTGAGATTAGAAAAAAAGGAGGAAATATGATTGTTACACAGAAAATTAAATAAGAGTTCAGTTTTACCTATATCTGAGATATCTATTTTATATACAAGTGCAAATGTAGGGAGATAATTCAATATCATGAATCTAGAGTTCATCCACATTGACAAAGTATTTAGAATCATAAACTTTGTGTATCTAGGAAAAGAGATAGAGGTAAAAAGACTGAGTTATAGGCCCTACAATATTTAGAAGTCTGGAAGATTAAGTGAATTCAACAAAGAATATTTAGAAGAAATAAAACATTAAGTCAAAAAAGCAGAGAAAGATAAAGTGAAGAGTTTTAAAAAGTAGAGAGTAACCAAAGGTGTCAAATGATGCTGGTGAATTAGTAGAAGGAGAACTGAGAATTGATAATGGATTTGATAAAAGAAAATTAGGACCATGATGAAACAAGTTTTGGAAAAGTGTTGGGTACAGAAAATCTGATGGACTGGGTTTAAAAGCAAATAAATTTTTCAATAAGTGGATCCACTAAAAACATTGTCAATAAGAAAAAAAAAGGAAGGTGGCTATTTAGAATGTGACAATAAAGGTTTTTTTTCCCTTAAGATAAGAATATTACATCATGTTTTTATTTTGATGGAGGCAATACAATGAGAAAAAAATGAAGCATGAGAAAGAAAAACTAATTTCAAGAATAAATTGTTGAGTAGATAAATGGAGAGTTTGATTTAAGAGCACGGGCAGTTTATTCAATACAACATGATGAAGAGCAAAGTGTATGAGTACAGATGCAAATTAGTTGGTCGATTTATGATAGACACAGGTATAAGTCAGTTCTGATCACTTTTGTCTTCTTGTTGAAATGAGCAAATAATAAGATAGTGTATTGATTAAGGGCATTGGTTCCAAGTGTGGTTCCCCAGACCAGTAGCATCAGCATCAACTGAGGCTCCGATCGATCTACTAAATCAGAACCTCTTGGGATGGAGCTCAGAAATTCATGTTTTGACACACTCTCCAAGTTATACTAATGCAGATTCTGAAGTAATATTGAAGTATCACTAACAGACCAATTAAGGCCTTTGGTAATACTAGAGGCCCCATGCATGAATTCGTGCAAGGGGTGGGTTCCCTAGGCCTGGCTGGTGATCAGGGCTGATCAGGGTTGGGCTGATTGGGGCCAGCTGATCGCTGATCGGGGCCTGCCAGACGGGGGGAGGGATGAGAGAGGATGGGACCACGGGAGGTTGACTGGCTGAGGGAGGTTGGCTGTGGGAGCACACTGACCACCAGGGGGGAGCTCCTGTGTTGAACGTCTGCCCCCTGGTGGTCAGTGCTTATAGCAACTGGTCAATCGGTAGTTCCGGTCGTTCAGTCATAATGCTCACTTAGGCTTTTATATATATAGATACTTAGATGACATTAGTCTGCACAGTTGTCTGCTTTCCTTTGCCTAAACAGAGATTAGGCAGAGTTGGATAGACCATGGTGAGTTTGGTAGGTGAGTGCTATGCCAGAATGATTATATTGACAGATATGGACTAGTTTTGAAGCTACAGAATTGGGGGCAGAAAGCAAAAGATGATGCAAGAAGGACACCTATCCCACTTCTGAGTCCATAGGGAATAAAACAAGCAACCAGCACTGCTGGAGAAGCAATGTCCTCAGTGGAAAGCCAGAATTCCATTACAGCAAAAAAGGTAAGGGAACATTTGAAAAGTTGTAGGTATAAGGACTTTGCTGTTGCTAAATTATGAGGTCTAAAGATAGGGTGGAAAGGTTTGGAGAACTGATGATGAGTGGAATATTGAGTAAGATGAGAGACAGTCAATCATATTGGGATGAGACTTAGAAAGATGAGCTGGAGAACCTGGGCTTTTTATGTAAACAGAGTCAAGCAAGGTATACGGCATAATTGGATTAATAGAGTTGTCCTATTTGGGGAGATAAAGCATCAGTTTTAGCTATAATTTCTTTCTTGAGATGTATTTTTTTGGTATGTTGTGGTGGTGGAGTAGGAATTTTTAGCATTTGGAGTGCTAGATGCCTTTGGAGCTTTATGGGCCTGTCCTTTGCTCTTGCTGATGATGTCAAAGCTGGAGGATGGGTGGCCTGTGGGCAGCACAGACACCTCTGTGGATCCAATTTTCAGTCCAGAATCAGAAAACTCTCACCACCTCCACCACTTTCACCCTAAATTCAGACACTATCATCTTTAATCTGCTTTATCACAAAAACACCTAGCAGTGGTTTTTGTTTGTTTGTTGTTTTTTAGTATTTTTATTGATTTCAGAGAGGAAGGAAAAGGGAGAAAGAGAGAAACATCAATGATGAGAGAGAATCATTGATCCATTGCCCCCTGCATGCACCACACTGGGGATTGCCCCACACTGGGGATCCAGGCCTCAATCCGGGCACATGCCCTGACCAGGAATTGAACCGTGATCTCCTGGTTCATAGGTCACCGCTCAACCACTGAGCCATGCCAGCTGGGTATGGTTTTCATAGTAAAATCCAAAGTCCTCACCAGACCTACAAATCTCTTCATGACTTCTCTGATGTCCTTCCCTGACCCCATTTTCTTATTCACTCCAGCTACACGATCGCCTTATTATTTTTTAAACACAAGGACACTCCTACCTGATGATTTTTATTATACAGCCTTCTCTACCTGGAACATACTTCTCGCAGGGAATTGCATGTTTAAGTCTCGATTTTTTTCTGACTCCTGCTCAACTGTCACCTTTACAGAAGTTTATTGCTTTTGTTAACCATGTGGACAGAGTTGGAGCTTAGAAGAGAAAATGGACAAGAACAAAGTCCTTAACTTCTTCAGAAAAGTGGTATTATAAAAAAGGATCTCAAGTTTTTCTCTGTGTATAAATTTTGTGAGTCTAGACTTAATTGAAAATGTTTCCATAAGATTGGGGGGCATGGGTTGGGTGGAGATTTTCTCTATCCTAGAAGCAGGAGCAGGGCCAGCCAGGGAGACTCCCACTAGGGGCATTCCAAACTAAAGTTTAATGATCTACTCCTTGCAAAGTACTTTTAATTAACTTATTAATTGGTCTTTTCTACATGTTATTATAGCAGAATTCTTAGAATGATTTGTTTCAATGTTCTAGCCTGGTCTTAAATGTCTATCTTTGTGTTGACATTGATGAGAAGGGGCATTAGGGGAAGAGATGTCTGTGAACCAAGAAGTGAGAGTGAAAGTGGTTAACAGTGAAATTCCTAACAACACAGGTTTAGGAAACTAAAAAGCCAGATTCTCAGTTCCATGTAAGGAACTGAGGGTGGTGATTAATTTTTATTCGGATAGCATATGAATTTTCTATTAGTGGATAGGTTAAATGCATATCTATGTCTATGTTAATGTTTGATATGGATGGAAATATTGTTATGTAAACATGATAATGCATATGTCTGATTGGATAAATATTTGTGCATGTATATGTATGAAGTATAGCCATGAGGCAGGGTGTGTGAACTATTCTATTGTCTGTGTAACTGTGAAGACTTCAGGGTCTGAAACATTGAACATTTCATTCACTTGCCTAGTGGGTAGGTGCACCATGCAGATAGATGCATCAAGCAAAGAGGCTGGGCCCATATGTTCTCAGTATGTTAAAGATAAGCAAAGAAACTACAGACAGTTGTCTAAGAGACTTCCTGCTATTACACTAAAGGATATTCTTTATTGAGAATTTCTTTACCTCAATCCCAATCCACCCACAGCCCCTTCTCATCACTGGCAAAATATAAGTCCTTCCAGGGACACCAGTATAGGAGAAGTAGGGGTTGTAGGTGGTCCCAGGCAAAGGGTGTTGCAGGCCTGCCTCATGCTCATCTATC